ACGTTACAACATATGCTTGGGAGTGGCGAGAGGACTCGCGTATCTTCACGAAGAGTCTCGAATGAGAATTGTTCATCGAGACGTGAAGGCCAGCAATATACTTCTCGATTCGGAGCTCGTTCCAAAAATCTCGGATTTCGGGCTGGCCAAATTGTACGATGATAAGATGACACATATAAGCACTCGAGTTGCAGGCACAATGTAAAAAGATCGAGTTCCCTTTCTACTTTTTATTTTTCCTTTTTCTTGTTCCATTAAATTGAGTTCTCTCCACTGTTTCTATTGGGTTTCATCTCTAGTCTACCCCAACTTGTTTGGGACTAAAAGACTTTGTTGTTGTTTGTTGTTGTTTGTATTAAATTGATTTCTCTTTATGTGAAGTGGGTATCTAGCGCCGGAATATGCCATGTTCGGACAGCTTACGGAAAAAGCTGATATATTCAGCTTTGGAGTTGTGGCTCTCGAGACTGTGAGTGGAAAACCGAACTCCGACTCGAGTTTGGAAGATGATACGATATATCTTCTCGAAAGGGTATATATTTTTTTCAAAATACTTATTTACAAACGTAATGAAATCCAAGTAAAACTCGAATGCTAATAACTTTTCAGGCTTGGAACCTTCACGAAAACAAGAAGGAACTCGATCTAGTCGACCCGAATATGCACAAATACAATCAACACGAAGTAAAGAGGATAATCGGGATTTCGCTTTTGTGCACTCAAGCTTCGCCAGCCCTTCGGCCACCGATGTCTCGTGTGGTGGCCATGCTATCCGGGGAGATGGAAGTGCCCACGGTTAACACGAGGCCCGGTTATCTAACCGGGTGGAACTTTAATGATGCCACTATTTCTGTCTCGGGTGAAAAAGTGTCGGGTTATTCACCCGAGAATGATGCAAAAGCCATGCTGCACGAGAGAATTGATGAGGGAAGATGATTATCCGGGTTCTTTATCGAAGCAAAACAATATCGATAGAATTAAGAATGCATAGCAATTGTTCGTGTGTATCGTCTGAACATAACAAAGAACTACTTGAGGTTTGTATTCGTTTAGTGTATAATGAGTTCTTGTTTTTTTTCCTTTTATACTCAAATTGAGAAAACCAGAGAAAAACACCAAGAACAAGAATATAAAAAATAATTATGTATTCGACATAACATAAAAGACCAAAAACAAGAATCAAAATCTACCTACACAACACAACCCTAATCAGACCCAACACCAAACAAGACACCGCAAGAAGAAACAGACTCCCAACATCCCGGCCCGACCATTTCCTTCCGGGCCTCCTCTCGACGACCCGGAGGCTCTTGGCCCGCCGGAGAGCATCGACCTCTCTCATCAGATCAAAGTCCGAGCCTTTCCGCCTTAGCTCCTCCACGCACTTCCCGAGCAGCGACGAGTCCTCCTCCTCTCTCTCCAGCATCCTCTCCAGGCGGCTCCCGAGGCCCGATTTGTGCCGGGAGGCCCAGATGAGGCCCAGTGAGCAGGCGAGGGAGCAGAGGGAGGGGACCCACGAGCGGAGGCAGAGGCCTGGGTCGCCGGCGGCGGAGAAGAGGAGGAGAAGGGCGGCGGAATGGAAGAGGAAGAAGAGGGCGTGGAGGGCGGCGAGGTGGGTACGGGCGGAGTCGAGCTGGGTCTGGCGGAGGGAGATGCGGGTGAGGATGAGGTCCTGTTCCTTGAGCCACTGCTTGAGGAGGAGTTTGTGGGTCGGGTTGGAGGCAATCTGGTGGAGCGGGTGAGCCGGGTTTGGGTTCGGATCCATTTTTTTTGAGGGATTTGAGAGAGAATTGGAGGACAGAGAGGAGAGATCAGAGGAAGGGATGAAACTCATGAAAGAAGAGAGAGGGTTTGAAAGGGGGATTTTGTTCTTGAATTTTTGGGGTTGTAACGGTCGAATTTTGAATTTCTTTTTGAATAGCTATTCACATAAATTCTATGGAGTCATCGAATGACTCCATTATAGAGTCGTGTATAAACTTATATATTGACACATGTTTAATGTACATTTATTGTATGACACGTGTCAATACATAATTTGTGAATAACTATAAATGACTCCATAAATCGAGTCATCCGATAGCTTCATACCAAGGAAAGTTACTAGTAGTTCCTAATCGGTTTATATGTGGTTCTGTATTGTATGTGAAGTGAAGCTTATACCTTATAGCAAGACTGTGTATGTGTGTTTGAAACTGATAGCTGGGCTAATTCGGCCCAGCCTACCCTATTTAGCTCAAGTCCAGGGTTGTTAAAACCCAAGGTCCATTTTATGAGTTACATTTGTCTAGATGTGATACATTTTATGTATAGGTCCACTTCAGCCCAGTAGATCTATACAGTGGCTAGAATAAAATTTGAGCATTATTTTGGAGGAGAAGTACACAATTTATCTTCAAATCTACAAATTTTTTACTTTAATTATCAATAGAGTAACTTTTATATTTTAGGTCTGGTTGATTTTTGGTTATTTTTATTATTATTTTTTAAAATTATATTATGTTTTGATTTATGTTATTTTTATTAATACTTTATATATGATTTTATTTAAAATGTCGATTTTT